ATATACCACTGCAAGAGATCAATCGTGTCTTGGTGTTCCTTCGTCTTCTTATGTTCCACTGCAAGAGATCAATCGTGTCTTGGTGTTCCTTCGTCTTCTTATGTTCCACTGCAAGAGATCAATCGTGTCTTGGTGTTCCTTCGTCTTCTTATGTTCCACTGCAAGAGATCAATCGTGTCTTGGTGTTCCTTCGTCTTCTTATGTTCCACTGCAAGAGATCAATCGTGTCTTGGTGTTCCTTCGTCTTCTTATGTTCCACTGCAAGAGATCAATCGTGTCTTGGTGTTCCTTCGTCTTCTTATGTTCCACTGCAAGAGATCAATCGTGTCTTGGTGTTCCTTCGTCTTCTTATGTTCCACTGCAAGAGATCAATCGTGTCTTGGTGTTCCTTCGTCTTCTTATGTTCCACTGCAAGAGATCAATCGTGTCTTGGTGTTCCTTCGTCTTCTTATGTTCCACTGCAATAGATCAATCGTGTCTTGGTGTTCCTTCGTCTTCTTATGTTCCACTGCAAGAGATCAATCGTGTCTTGGTGTTCCTTCCTCTTCTTATGTTCCACTGCAAGAGATCAATCGTGTCTTGGTGTTCCTTCATCTTCTTATGTTCCACTGCAAGAGATCAATCGTGTCTTGGTGTTCCTTCCTCTTCTTATGTTCCACTGCAAGAGATCAATCGTGTCTTGGTGTTCCTTCGTCTTCTTATGTTCCACTGCAAGAGATCAATCGTGTCTTGGTGTTCCTTCATCTCCTTATGTTCCACTGCAAGAGATCAATCGTGTCTTGGAGTTCCTTCGTCTTCTTATGTTCCACTGCAAGAGATCAATCGTGTCTTGGTGTTCCTTCCTCTTCTTCTGTTCCACTGCAAGAGATCAATCGTGTCTTGGTGTTCCTTCGTCTTCTTGTGTTCCACTGCAAGAGATCAATCGTGTCTTGGTGTTCCTTCGTCTTCTTGTGTTCCACTGCAAGAGATCAATCGTGTCTTGGTGTTCCTTCGTCTTCTTGTGTTCCACTGCAAGAGATCAATCGTGTCTTGGTGTTCTTTCCTCTTCTTGTGTTCCACTGCAAGAGATCAATCGTGTCTTGGTGTTCTTTCCTCTTCTTGTGTTCCACTGCAAGAGATCAATCGTGTCTTGGTGTTCCTTCGTCTTCTTGTGTTCCACTGCAAGAGATCAATCGTGTCTTGGTGTTCCTTCGTCTTCTTGTGTTCCACTGCAAGAGATCAATCGTGTCTTGGTGTTCCTTCGTCTTCTTGTGTTCCACTGCAAGAGATCAATCGTGTCTTGGTGTTCCTTCGTCTTCTTGTGTTCCACTGCAAGAGATCAATCGTGTCTTGGTGTTCCTTCGTCTTCTTGTGTTCCACTGCAAGAGATCAATCGTGTCTTGGTGTTCCTTCGTCTTCTTGTGTTCCACTGCAAGAGATCAGTCGTGTCTTGGTGTTCCTTCGTCTTCTTGTGTTCCACTGCAAGAGATCAATCGTGTCTTGGTGTTCCTTCGTCTTCTTGTGTTCCACTGCAAGAGATCAATCGTGTCTTGGTGTTCCTTCGTCTTCTTGTGTTCCACTGCAAGAGATCAGTCGTGTCTTGGTGTTCCTTCGTCTTCTTGTGTTCCACTGCAAGAGATCAGTCGTGTCTTGGTGTTCCTTCGTCTTCTTGTGTTCCACTGCAAGAGATCAATCGTGTCTTGGTGTTCCTTCGTCTTCTTGTGTTCCACTGCAAGAGATCAGTCGTGTCTTGGTGTTCCTTCGTCTTCTTGTGTTCCACTGCAAGAGATCAGTCGTGTCTTGGTGTTCCTTCGTCTTCTTGTGTTCCACTGCAAGAGATCAATCGTGTCTTGGTGTTCCTTCCTCTTCTTATGTTCCACTGCAAGAGATCAATCGTGTCTTGGTGTTCCTTCGTCTTCTTATGTTCCACTGCAAGAGATCAATCGTGTCTTGGTGTTCCTTCATCTCCTTATGTTCCACTGCAAGAGATCAATCGTGTCTTGGAGTTCCTTCGTCTTCTTATGTTCCACTGCAAGAGATCAATCGTGTCTTGGTGTTCCTTCCTCTTCTTCTGTTCCACTGCAAGAGATCAATCGTGTCTTGGTGTTCCTTCGTCTTCTTGTGTTCCACTGCAAGAGATCAATCGTGTCTTGGTGTTCCTTCGTCTTCTTGTGTTCCACTGCAAGAGATCAATCGTGTCTTGGTGTTCCTTCGTCTTCTTGTGTTCCACTGCAAGAGATCAATCGTGTCTTGGTGTTCTTTCCTCTTCTTGTGTTCCACTGCAAGAGATCAATCGTGTCTTGGTGTTCTTTCCTCTTCTTGTGTTCCACTGCAAGAGATCAATCGTGTCTTGGTGTTCCTTCGTCTTCTTGTGTTCCACTGCAAGAGATCAATCGTGTCTTGGTGTTCCTTCGTCTTCTTGTGTTCCACTGCAAGAGATCAATCGTGTCTTGGTGTTCCTTCGTCTTCTTGTGTTCCACTGCAAGAGATCAATCGTGTCTTGGTGTTCCTTCGTCTTCTTGTGTTCCACTGCAAGAGATCAATCGTGTCTTGGTGTTCCTTCGTCTTCTTGTGTTCCACTGCAAGAGATCAATCGTGTCTTGGTGTTCCTTCGTCTTCTTGTGTTCCACTGCAAGAGATCAGTCGTGTCTTGGTGTTCCTTCGTCTTCTTGTGTTCCACTGCAAGAGATCAATCGTGTCTTGGTGTTCCTTCGTCTTCTTGTGTTCCACTGCAAGAGATCAATCGTGTCTTGGTGTTCCTTCGTCTTCTTGTGTTCCACTGCAAGAGATCAGTCGTGTCTTGGTGTTCCTTCGTCTTCTTGTGTTCCACTGCAAGAGATCAGTCGTGTCTTGGTGTTCCTTCGTCTTCTTGTGTTCCACTGCAAGAGATCAATCGTGTCTTGGTGTTCCTTCGTCTTCTTGTGTTCCACTGCAAGAGATCAGTCGTGTCTTGGTGTTCCTTCGTCTTCTTGTGTTCCACTGCAAGAGATCAGTCGTGTCTTGGTGTTCCTTCGTCTTCTTGTGTTCCACTGCAAGAGATCAATCGTGTCTTGGTGTTCCTTCGTCTTCTTGTGTTCCACTGCAAGAGATCAATCGTGTCTTGGTGTTCCTTCGTCTTCTTGTGTTCCACTGCAAGAGATCAATCGTGTCTTGGTGTTCCTTCGTCTTCTTGTGTTCCACTGCAAGAGATCAATCGTGTCTTGGTGTTCCTTCGTCTTCTTGTGTTCCACTGCAAGAGATCAATCGTGTCTTGGTGTTCCTTCGTCTTCTTGTGTTCCACTGCAAGAGATCAATCGTGTCTTGGTGTTCCTTCGTCTTCTTGTGTTCCACTGCAAGAGATCAATCGTGTCTTGGTGTTCCTTCGTCTTCTTGTGTTCCACTGCAAGAGATCAATCGTGTCTTGGTGTTCCTTCGTCTTCTTGTGTTCCACTGCAAGAGATCAATCGTGTCTTGGTGTTCCTTCGTCTTCTTGTGTTCCACTGCAAGAGATCAATCGTGTCTTGGTGTTCCTTCGTCTTCTTATGTTCCACTGCAGGAGATCAATCGTGTCTTGGTGTTCCTTCGTCTTCTTATGTTCCACTGCAAGAGATCAATCGTGTCTTGGTGTTCCTTCGTCTTCTTATGTTCCACTGCAAGAGATCAATCGTGTCTTGGTGTTCCTTCGTCTTCTTATGTTCCACTGCAAGAGATCAATCGTGTCTTGGAGTTCCTTCGTCTTCTTATGTTCCACTGCAAGAGATCAATCGTGTCTTGGTGTTCCTTCGTCTTCTTATGTTCCACTGCAAGAGATCAATCGTGTCTTGGAGTTCCTTCGTCTTCTTATATACCACTGCAAGAGATCAATCGTGTCTTGGTGTTCCTTCGTCTTCTTATGTTCCACTGCAAGAGATCAATCGTGTCTTGGTGTTCCTTCGTCTTCTTATGTTCCACTGCAAGAGATCAATCGTGTCTTGGTGTTCCTTCGTCTTCTTATGTTCCACTGCAAGAGATCAATCGTGTCTTGGTGTTCCTTCGTCTTCTTATGTTCCACTGCAAGAGATCAATCGTGTCTTGGTGTTCCTTCGTCTTCTTATGTTCCACTGCAAGAGATCAATCGTGTCTTGGTGTTCCTTCGTCTTCTTATGTTCCACTGCAAGAGATCAATCGTGTCTTGGTGTTCCTTCGTCTTCTTATGTTCCACTGCAATAGATCAATCGTGTCTTGGTGTTCCTTCGTCTTCTTATGTTCCACTGCAAGAGATCAATCGTGTCTTGGTGTTCCTTCCTCTTCTTATGTTCCACTGCAAGAGATCAATCGTGTCTTGGTGTTCCTTCATCTTCTTATGTTCCACTGCAAGAGATCAATCGTGTCTTGGTGTTCCTTCCTCTTCTTATGTTCCACTGCAAGAGATCAATCGTGTCTTGGTGTTCCTTCGTCTTCTTATGTTCCACTGCAAGAGATCAATCGTGTCTTGGTGTTCCTTCATCTCCTTATGTTCCACTGCAAGAGATCAATCGTGTCTTGGAGTTCCTTCGTCTTCTTATGTTCCACTGCAAGAGATCAATCGTGTCTTGGTGTTCCTTCCTCTCCTTATGTTCCACTGCAATAGATCAATCGTGTCTTGGTGTTCCTTCGTCTTCTTATGTTCCACTGCAAGAGATCAATCGTGTCTTGGTGTTCCTTCCTCTTCTTATGTTCCACTGCAAGAGATCAATCGTGTCTTGGTGTTCCTTCGTCTTCTTATGTTCCACTGCAAGAGATCAATCGTGTCTTGGAGTTCCTTCGTCTTCTTATGTTCCACTGCAAGAGATCAATCGTGTCTTGGTGTTCCTTCGTCTTCTTATGTTCCACTGCAATAGATCAATCGTGTCTTGGTGTTCCTTCATCTTCTTATGTTCCACTGCAATAGATCAATCGTCTCTTGGTGTTCCTTCATCTTCTTATGTTCCACTGCAATAGATCAATCGTGTCTTGGTGTTCCTTCATCTTCTTATGTTCCACTGCAAGAGATCAATCGTGTCTTGGTGTTCCTTCATCTTCTCATGTTCCACTGCGCTCTCTGCTGCCACCAGGTGTGCTATGCACGGATTCTGGACTCCAAGAGGAAGTTCCTGGAAGCTGCGCTCAAGTACTACGACCTCTCCCAGCTGGACCAGAGGGAACTGGGCGGCATGTGAGTGCATTGTGGGCGGCAAGTGAGTGCATTGTGGGCGGCAAGTGAGTGCCTTGTGGGCGGCAAGTGAGTGCCTTGTGGGCGGCAAGTGAGTGCCTTGTGGGCGACAAGTGAGTGGCTTGTGGGCGACAAGGGAGTGGCTTGTGGGCGGCAAAGGAGTGGTGGGTAGGGAGTAGTGGCAACTTGTGTGCTGAGTGCTGTGCTGGTGGGTAGGGTTGAGCACTGGCCGGGTAGGGTTCGGCCCGGGCGGGGCCGGGCCAGGCTGCCCCCAAAAGGGGGCCGAACCCTGCCAGGCCCGCCCCGGGCGGAAGGAGCGAGACCTCTGCCTGGGTTCGCCCAGGGGGTGTCCGGGCCCAGAAGGGCCCGGCCGGGCTGAGTATGGCCCCGCCCGGGTGCCCTGACTGTAACCCTAAACATAACTTACTTTGAAATGCATGAAAAAAACTGTAATGAGGATGGAGTTGACCCGCGTTACCGCCTAGAGTACCGTGCTGTTTCTGTACAAAGACAGAACCGCCCCGCCTATAAACGAAATGTCTAGGCGGGGCGGTTCTGTCTTTGCAACGCTAAAAGGGAAGGTTAAGGGACCTATCGGCAAGGTTTTAAGTACCCAAGGCGTCACGCACTATAACTTTGCATAGATTCTTACAGTAAGCTAGGAAAAAACAACCAGCCAGGTGCGAGAAGAGTGGCGAGAATGTACATGTGAGGTGAGGTGCTGGAAGTTGGAGGTCGCAAATGAACTCCAATAAATTGTGGTGCAGCTCATTAAGAACCCACTTCGTGCGACAACTGTCGTTGGGGTCAAAAGCGGGCCAGAAAGGCCAGCCCCGGACCGCACTTCGAGGCGGGCCGGCCCGGCCCGGCGCTAACCCCGTGGGCCAATAGCGAGGTGCAGCAAGTTCCGCGGGCAGGGAAGGTTTGGCTCGCCCCGGGCCGTCAGCCCAAGGTTCGGCCCGGGGCACATTCGGGCTGGCCCGACCCGGGCCGAACCAGGTTCGCCCAGATGCTCAACCCTATTGGTGGTCAACAAGTGAGTTTGTTTGTTTGAAGTGACACAACGTGGGGATGTTTCTGTGTATGTGTGCGGAGAAAGCGGTGGTGGGAAAGAGAACTTGGAAATGAGGAAGGTGAACCTGCCAACTTTACACTGCAACCCACCTTTCACACTTGGTTCGTTTCCTTGCCTTGGCTGTCTTTTCAAATCCTCGTTCATAGTTGATGTGTTGATGATGCTGATGCACGCGTGCACACATGTGCTCATGTGCACACGTTTGTCCTGCACAACTCGTTCTGAACGCACACGCATGGACCGGCTTAATTTGTCGATGCATGCACATGTGCTGCGCGAGCACCGTGCAGGCAGGTGGATGAGGAGGAGTTGGAGGCGGTGCTGAACGCCGCTGTCACCTGCACCATCCTCGCTGCTGCCGGCCCCCAGCGCTCCCGCATGCTCGCCACCCTCTATAAGGTGCCACTCCCTCTCTCTCAGGTGCAAATTACTATCTATTGATTGTCTTGGCTTGAGCTGACTCGTTGGTATCGGAATGCATGCTGTAATGTATGGGACTTACGGCTTTCGACACTAATGTCGAGTTCGTCAATTGGATTGGCGTGCTTTAGTGTGTGTGGGGTCTGTGTATGTGTGTGTGCGTGCGTGCGTGCGTGCGTGCGTGTGTGTGTGTGTATGCGTGTGTGTGTGTGTGTTTGTCTGTCTGTATGTATGCGTGTATGGTGCTACTGCTCCACCCATCAGGATGAGCGCTGCAGCAAGCTGAAGATCTACCCCATTCTGCAGAAAGTATGTCTCGCCCCTTGCTGCTCTCGATCTGTGCCTCCTTGCTCCCTCACCTCTTGCTCTCTTTTGCTCTTCTCCCTTGCTCTCATGCCCTACCATTATCCCAGCAACACATCCATCACCTGTATCTCCATTTCCCTTGTGTCTCTGCACTGGACCCTGCTGTCACTAGCCCTTGAAGTTCTGCTTCCCTTTTTTTTTTCCTCCATCTCACCTGTTCTCTGCCTTCCTTTCCACCTCCTCTTGCCTCTCAACACTGCTCTCCACCGCTCTCCACCCAGGTGTATCTGGAGCGCATCCTGCGATCACCAGAGGTGGAGGCATTCGCCAAGGAGCTCAAGCCACATCAAGTTTGTATACATACACATCAATACGATTTATACATAAAATAATTATATGTGCACTGCTCAACCCGCACAGTAAGCTCAAGCCCATCAGGTGAGTTGCTGGGCTGCACACTTTCGGTTTCAAAGGCCGATTTCTTAGCTGTGCAGCATCACACTCCTCTCAATCCATTCGAACTCTTTCCAGCTGAAATCTATGCGACTCACCCCGCTTACCCCCCAGCATTCCTCCGAACCAACTCTTCCTTCTCTCTCTCTGCCACTATCCACCTGCACGCATGTGCTGACACCTATCCCATCTGACTCCCTGTGGTGCAGAAAGCGGTGTTGCCGGGCGGGTCAACGGTGCTGGACCGGGCAGTGATAGAGCACAACCTGCTCAGCGCCAGCAAGCTGTACACCAACATCAGGTAGGCAGCAAGCTGTACACCAACATCAGGTAGGCAGCAAGCCGTACAGCAACATCAGGTAGGCAGCAAGCTGTACAGCAACATGAGGTGATCAGTCTATGTCCCTGCTTGCTGCACACTCGCCTACCTCATTTGTGCGTTAGCTCATGTGGGTGGTGTGGCGCAATAGTGTGCGCTGTGTGGCATGGCATGGCATGGCGGATGGTTGAAGCGCAGCGTGTCATGTGAATGAAGGCCGTGACTGATTGGCCTTTGGTAGCGGGCTGAGCTTGGAGAGTGCTGTGACTAGGTTTCTGCCGTACTGCAGCTAAGTAGCGCCTGCTGCACTGCCTTGCCGTAGGGTAGATTCCCACATGAAATCGGACTGCCAATGCGGATATGTATCCTCTTTTGCCCCCATCCCTCCTCTGGCCTTTACCCCCCTCCACTCTCTCCCTAACCTACTCCACTCCCCTCCCACCTCTCCCTATCCATCACTTGCGCAGCTTTGAAGAGCTGGGTGCTCTGTTGGGCATTGCACCTCACACGGTGGGTGTGAGGGAAGTAGGGGTGTGGGGGGGATTGTGTGCTGCTGGGTGGCTTGCTGTGGGTGATGTCAAGGCACCACACGTCATGCACCATACACCATGCATTCTACACCATGCATCTTGCACCATGCATCTTGCACCATGCATCTTGCACCATGCATCATACAACTGACGAACGCTGCACTGTGCTCCATGCATGTGAGTTTTCATCTCCGCGCTGCAGTGTCACAGAGCAACATGCTCTGCAGTGTCACAGAGCAACATGGTCTGCCTACACCGTTGAGTTTCTCTGCACTACACTTGGTGCTCCCCTTTCTGCGCTCAAATCCCGTCATGCCTGCAACCATCCACTCCAGTCATAAGCTATCCAATCATTCCCACCCCTGTACACTCAACACACCGTCTTCCACCCTCCTCCTCCTATATCCCGACCCACCTGTGGTGTGGTGTGTGGCAGGCGGAGAAGGTGGCGGCGCGCATGATATCGGAGGACAGGATGAAGGGCAGCATCGACCAGGTGAGGCACAAACGCAGAGGTGAGGCAGCATCGTGCGGGTAGTTTTTCAGAGTGCATGCAAGGTTACGAATGGTGCTAAAGGTTGCTGTGAGACACTTAAGCCTAGGGGAGCCTTTCAAGTGAGCACACTCGTTGACGAAAAGTGTCACTCAATCATCTACAGTATTACTCAGCCTTGCACTTGCTACTCTTCCATCCCTCTCCCTTCCTCTCCCCCCCTCTCCCGCCCCAACTCTTTGCCTCCCTCTCTCCCTCCCGTCCTGAAGTGCTCGCCATAAGGTGGCAGCAGCAATTTGCAAAGATTTCCGCCCTTCACTCCCCGCTCTCCCTTCCACCCCTCTCTCTATTCTCTCCCGGCCATCCCTCACCCGTCGCTCCCTGGTGCCCCTCTCAACCCGCGCCCACGCCAGGTGGAGGCGGTGATTCACTTCGACAAGGACACGGACGACCTGCAGCAGTGGGACCAGCAGGTACACACAATCATATCTGCATCAGATTAGCTCTCATTGCTTCACGGCTGCCCTGTGTGCAATGTCTCACTCCCGCCCTGTGTGCAATGTCTCATGCTGCAGATCGCTAGTCTGTGCCATGCGCTCAATGACATTCTTGATGGAGTGGTCAACAAGGGCGCCATGGCTGTCACAGTTTGAATCAATGCTCTCAGAGCGTGTTCCTACACCTCGTATCAGACACACCTCGTATCAGACACACCTCGTATCAGCTTCGCGTGGTTAAATACGTTTCAGTGCGGTTGGATGTGTTTTAGCGGTTCGACGCGAATCTGATACTAAGAGGTTTCCTGAAAAGAGGCTGTAGGAACACGCTCTCATTATGATCACCAGCAGCTCTCATCTATCAGGCATTTCCGTCAGTAAATGAACACATTTGCGAGATGTTCACACGTGATCCATCCATGCTTATTACAAGCTCCGTTTTGTCAAAATGTTATACTGCTTATATTGTGTAGGTTATAGTGGGGTAGCCCATAAGGGGTACAACCCAATTAGGGTTAGTACGGTACTTGTACCAACTTTCTGTTCGATGCATTCATTCTCGTTCAGTATTTTGACATCGTTTCAGAGTAGGTCCTGTTCCATGACCGTTTTTTTAGGGCCCACCGCATAGTTCCCTGCTCGTAGCGCTGCTCCACTAGTCGCGCTGCCCTGCCCTGTCAAATTATATGCCTATGTCATAATAGAATGTAGGCTTTAGTGGGGTAGCTAATGTAGGGTATAGTTTTTGTTACTTGTACCCAACTTTCTCGATAGTGCACCAACTTTTTCCCTTTACTCTCGACAGGCCCTGCCCGTCGCGCCGCCCTGCAGGCAGAGCGCCAGGGCCTCAGATTCGTTTTGGCTTAGGCTGAATCATCAGCCTTTGGAGTGTGTTGAAGGCTGATCAATCAGTGTTGCCTTGAAAAAAAAAACCGGAAGTTCAGTGTGTCCTTAAAGAAAAAAGCTAATCAACCAGCCTCACTACAGAAAAAAGGCTGAACGTTTCATACGGGCCAACACACGCTAGCGACAACAATGCGTGCGACGAGCCGGAAAGATGCCATTTCCCTGTGCGTTGGCTTGGTGGGGAATCTGGCAAATTTGGCGCAAATTCGGCGAGAATGACGAATCTGCACTACTGGGATTTCAGCCCACACCCCCGTTACAACGCTGATCAGTCAGTGTACACCCTTGAAAAAATGCTGAAATATCAGCCTATACAAAGAAAAATAAGCTGAAAAATCAGCACGTGCACTAAAACAAAAGGCTGACAAATCAGCCCCACTAAATCCCCAGCACTGAAAACGTAACCTCTTTACCCCTAATCAGCCTTTTTTTGCTGACTTCTGAGGCCCTGCAGAGCGCTGCCCTGCCCTGCCCGTCGTGCCGCCCTGCCAGTCGCGCGCCGCCTTGCCCTGCCTGTCGCGCCGCCAAGCTGGCCGCGCGCTGCCCTGCCCTGCCCGTCGCGCCGCCCTGCTGGTAGCGCGCCGCCCTCCCCTGCCTGTCGCGTCGCCCTGCTGGCCGCCGCATCGCCCTGCCCTGCCCGCGCGCCGCCCTGCTAGCCGCCGCGCCGCCCTGCTCTGCCTGCGCGTCGCCCTGCCCTGCCCGCGCACCGCACTGCTGGCCGCAGCGCCGCCCTGCCCTGCCCGCGCGTCGCTCTGCTGGCCGCCGCACCGCCCTGCCCTGCCCGCGCGCCGCTCTGCTGGCCGCTGCCCTGCCCTGCCATTCTACCGAGCGATTCTAGAGACAGCGTTTCGTTGTTTGACCATACGTCTGGAGCCTCTCTCGCCCCTCCCACCACAGCTGGCAGCGCGACTCGCTCACAATGGCTTACCCGTGACGCTACTGCTCGCTTAGCTGTTCGCAACCACAAGACTGCTAAAGCCCTGTACGACACAGTCGCCCGTTACTCTTCCCCCGCCACTGCTGCTCTCGGCCGCCTTATACTGCCCTACCTTTTTCCCGAGCTGTCAGCCTTTGCCACAATCGAGGACCTCATTACCCACCTTCGCACTAGCGACACTCGCTACCGCGCTGCCCTCCCAGCCGAGTTCCTAGACAAGAACCCGCCCCCGATGTACATCACTCTCTACTTCATAGTCACCCGCCTCCCTGACTCTCTTTGTGCAGTCAGGGACAACTTTCTCGCACTTGACCCCACAGACCTCACTGTCGACCTGCTCAAGAAGCACCTCCTTGCAGCTGAGACTACCATGGTCGCTGTAGGTGCTGCTCGTGGCACTTCTCGCACACCCTTCTTTGAGGGGTGTTCCCCCTCCCCCCTTGCCCCCTCCTACGCCCCTGCTGCTGCTGTTGACATCCTTGGTACAGAGGACGTCGGGGCTGCTTCTGCTCTTAGTGGGAAGCGCCGCAGCGGCAAGGGCAAGGGTGGCAAGAGTGGTGGCGGTGGCAGCGGGGGTGGTGGTGGTGGAGGCGGTGGAGGCGGTGGAGGTGGCAGAGGTGGCGGTGGGAGTGGTGGCAGGAGTGAGGGCTTCGCTGGCGGCGGTGGTGCCAGTGGTGGGAGTGGTGGTGGCGGTGGTGGCGGCAGTGGGAGTGGTGGAGGCGGCAGTGGTGGAGGTCGGGGTGGAGCTGCTCAGAGGGGAGGTTCTGGCGGTGGCCAGAGGCAGCAGCAGCAGCAGCGTTGGAGCGAGACCCCTACGCCCTAGCAGCTTCGTGAGTGGTTTGCTCAGCGTGGGGCGCCTGGGGGTAGTGTTCGCTGCCCGTATGTCATTCGCACAGGTGACCACGCTGGTCAGACATGCGGGAAGTTTCACACACAGCACCGCTACTTCTCCCTCCTTGACGACACTTGGCGCGCAGAGTTTGGCGACGAGGCTGAGCGCCCCCGCTGGGCAGAGCTGCTTAGGTCTGGTGTTGATATCTTTGCTCTTGACTATGATGCTATCCTTGCTGCCATGTATGCCTTGACTGTTAGTGCTGAGGGTGACTGTTACCTGTGTGTGCCGCCCGACCCAGGTATAGAGGCTGCTGCTCTAGGTGCTAGTGAGTCTGCTCTCCCTGGTACTGCGCCTTCTGAGGCCTTGCACACCTTCACACTTGACTCAGGTGCTTCCCACTGTTTCTTCCACGACAGTATCACACTCACTCCACTCCCTGCACCTGTTCCGCTCAGAATGGCTGACCCCTCAAAGGGCCCAGTTCTTGCACGTTCCTCCACTGTTCTCCCGTGTACGGTGGTTCCGTCAGGCACACTCTCAGGTCTTCACCTCCCCTCGTTCTCTACGAACTTGGTGAGTACCGCTGCCCTCCAGGATGCGATGGTCACTACCACCACTCCTGGGGGTCAGCGTGTGTCGATTTGCACGTGTACACGGACGGGTCGTCACCTGGCCACGATCACCCATCGGCCTGGGTCGAGTCTGTACACACTGACTACTGAGCCTCCTCAGGTACCTGCGTCTGGTCAGGTGTCCGCGTCAGGTCCGGTAGCAGCCCCCTGCTCGTGTTGCCTCCTTTCGCACCAGACTCTCCTTTGGCACCACCGCCTTGGTCACCCCTCCCTGCCATGCCTTCGTGGCATGCACTCCCGCCTCCTTGTCTCTGGTCTTCCCAGGTCTCTGCCTCCCCTCCCGCCCTCCCCTGCCCCGCCGTGCCTTCCTTGCATTGAGGGGCGGCAGCACACCGCTCCTCACTCCTCCTCGTTTCCCCCGACGACTGCTCCCCTGCAGACTCTCCACATGGACGTGTGGGGCCCAGCCCGCGTCAGTGGACAGGACCGCGAGCGCTACTTCCTGCTGGTTGTTGTCGACTACACGCGTTACACCACGGTCTTCCTCTTGCGCAGCAAGGGTGAGGTCCATGATGTCTTGATCCCTTGGATCCGCGCAGTCCGTCTCCAGCTCCGTGAGCAGTTTCGTGAGGACCTTCCTGTACTGCGTCTGCACTCTGACAGAGGTGGTGAGTTCTCCTCCGACCTCTTGCAGGACTTTTATCGTGGGGAGGGCCTCCTTCGGTCGTTCACGCTTCCGGCCTCCCCGCTGCAAAATGGGATTGCTGAGCGCCACATTGGCTTAGTCATGGAGGTGGCTCGTACCTCCATGATCCATGCGACTGCTCCCCATTTTCTGTGGCTGTTTGCGGTCCGGTACGCTGCGCATCAGCTCAACCTCTGGCCCCGTGTCTCCTTGCCGGAGACCTCGCCTACAATGCGTTGGACGGGGAAGGTTGGCGATGCGTCGGTGTTCCGGGTCTGGGGCTCTCGTGTCTTTGTCCGCGATACTTCCGCGAACAAGCTCTCCTCCCGCGCCATTCCCTGTGTCTTCCTTGGCTTTCCCCCTGACGCGCCTGGCTGGCAGTTTTACAACCCCACCTCGTGTCGTCTCCTGCCCTCTGAGGACGTCACGTTTAACGAGTCGGTTCCCTTTTATCGTCTCTTCCCCTACCGCACTGCCCCTCTCCCCCCCCGCCGCTCTTCCTCGCTCCAGGTCCCCCTCCGGTAGACCCCCTCCCCCCTCAGGGTCCTGCTCCCTCAGGTGTGTCTCAGGTAGACCCACTTCCCCTGGCTGAGCCTATCGAGGTCACTGTAGACTCAGGTGCTGCTAGGGGTGCTGCGTCTGGGGGTGCTGAGCCTTCGAGTGCGGAGCCTGGGGGTGCTGAGTGTGCGAGTGCGGAGCCTGGGGGTGCTGAGCCTGAGGGTGCGGAGCCTGGGGGTACTGAGTCTGAGGGTGCGGAGTCTAGGGGTGCTGAGCCGGAGGGTGCAAAGCCTGGGGGCGCTGAGCGTGAGGGTGCGGAGCCTAGGGGTGCTCAGTTTGAGGGTGCGGAGTCTGGGGGTGCTGAGTTTGAGGGTGCGGAGTCTGCGGGTGCTGAGCCCAGGGGTACTGCGTCTGCCGGAGATCCTGCGGGTGCCTCGCCACGACTGTCTCACCGGCGGGAGCCTCTCTCACCGCAGCAGCTGAGCGAGTGGTTTGCTCAGCGCACACGCCTTAGGAGTGGCACTGCAGGAGCTGGAGGCCCTATTGATGGAGGCAGTGGAGCTGGAGGTGCTG